TGTATATATATATATATATATATATATATGTATGTATGTATGTATGTATGTGATAATACGACAATATACCATAATATAAAAAGTCAAACTTTGTTTTTTACAATACAATTTTTTTGCATTAAAGTTACATCATAAGAAATAAAGTTTGATTTTTATATTATCATATATATTATCGTTTTATAAATTTTTTTTACATTTATCATAGCACTGTAAAAATAGTGATTACTTCATGATTATTTCTTTTTGTTCTTTAAATAAACACATACTTTGTCTTCATCTGTTATTTCATCAATAAAATGCTAATTTATCTCATTGTGTCGGTACATTATCAAGATTATGTTGGTACATGATCAAGATTAATATCTTATTCATGTTTGCCATATGATGCAAAATAGTTTAAAATCTAACATGAGAACTGGGGGTCGTTGCAGACTACACTTGAGTATCAGTTATTACCGATTTATAAATAATTTTTTTTCAACGTTTATACAACGGTGTACTGATAATGAAGATTTAAAACGAACCGAAACGTGTGAAATTGAAGTCGATTTAATGTTTCATATATTAAATATATACGAAACATTAATTCAACTTCAATTTTCTTGTTGCGCTCTAATCACCACACTAATTCCTATTAATCATTATTTTAATTATAAGGATCATCATCATTATTTTAACTACTATTAGTTTTATAGATATTAAAATCTAATGCTCACATCAAGATGATGGCTTGTATAATTGGATGTTCTTGTTCTTCTGGCAGATTATCAGAGAGAATTGGGAGCATCCACGATGGCTTTGGCAACTATACTGCGGATGTAAGGTGCTCCTGGCTGATTGAGAGCAGTCCGAACACGAAGATACGGATGCACGTGGAGCAATTTGCGACAGAATGCGGCTGGGACCATTTGTATATCTACGACGGTGATAGCGTCGAGGCGCCGCTGCTGGCCGTCTTCTCCGGCCTGATGCACAAGGACAGCTATCATATACGCCGTGTGCCGGAAGTAATAGCGCGATCCGGTAGCGCGTTATTGCACTTTTATTCCGATGTCGCATACAACATGAGCGGCTTTAACATTACATATAAAATCAACGCTTGCCCAAGCAGGTGAGCGCACCGCGCTGCTGACCGCGGTTTTCCTAATTCCTCTAACTTCTTTTCACCTCTTAATATATTTGAAATGGCGCACGAAATATCATACAATCATACTACTTACTTTATATACTTACTTTATATACTTATGACACATTTATTTTTAACAAAATTATAGAACTGGTATAGAATTATTAAAGCTTGGAAAATAGAATATTAAATAGTATGCCATTTCGTACGTCATCCTATATACAATATTTGTCCCAATTTATACTTAAATTTTATATTAAAAAATTTATATTTTTCTTTCATTGAGTATACTAAGAAATGATTCATTGCGTTTGCTAAACATTATATTTAATCAGTGCAGTGTGCTGAAGGTAATTATAGCACAGTTAACATGTATACGATTGATACCTTTCTTAGTAAAATGATTCTTTCATGATAGAGAAAAGAAAATGAAGCGGGTCAATTTACGTTATCTATAAGATTATAGCGTAAGTTGATAGGTCGTAATAATATATCAGTTGATCCTAAAACGTGACTATTATGCAATAGTTTTTAGCAACTAGAAACATAATCCGACATTTTACTCGTGCGATTTGCAGCGATATCTTATCAGATCCGAATAAATTATTTCATGTCACACGTATCTGTTGAAAAAGAAAGAAATGGCGTTGGCGAGATACTTGACAAGGTGGCGGTCAATCTGAGAGGAATAGAATGAAGAGATTACACGGAGAGTGGCAACCGCCGATAACTCGTAATTGGGTCGCTGTCGACTTAGGAACTTTATCGAGCTTCCTCTGCGAGCCGGAAATACGCGTAATCCTATCTGCGTCACATTTGATAACATTACCTACGATACAGAAGGCGATTTCTGGCAAAAAAAAGCGCTTATGATTTTATCCGAAAGAACGGGGATTATTTTCAAGATACAACTAGTATTTTATCAAAGGCTTTGCTAGTTCGATTTTAGACATGATACATGAGAAACGAGGGTTATCTCCTTCTCGATACTGTTGTCATATAAAACTCTTTCAGGAAAATCTGACTTCAGATCCATCAGAAAATCCGTCAGAAGATCCATCATCCGAACCACCGTGTGTCATGATACATATATGCTTTTCCTGAATTATTTGCTTTTTTATCTTGCGTTCAAATATTGAGAGTAAACCTTTTTTGTAGAAAGAAGTTAATAGAGGCAAACAATGTATTATACGAATAAATAGCACATGAGAGTATTTGTATTTACTTAATAACGACGTTAAATCATTACGGTGGCACTGCGTCACTCGAAGATAAGATTGACTCAATGATATGACGTGCGTCACTTTTTGCAGGTATTCCCATATCGATTGTTCTGGTCACGGTGTGTGTATCGAGGGCACATGTACCTGCGACGCCATGTGGACCGGTGAGGCCTGCGACGTGCAGGTATGCCCGAACAATTGTTCGTTCCATCATGGGCAGGGCGAGTGTGATCGCGAGAGTCATCACTGCCGCTGTTTTCACGGCTTTAAAGGTAAAGAGATAACGAGGATGTGTAATGATGATATATAGTTGATAATGAGATACCGGAAATTATATTTCACGCATGTCCAAAAGTAAAATTAATTATAACATCTTTCAATAACTCTTGAAATAAGATATATTTTCACGAAATATATTCACGGAATATTTTCACTGCTCAATCCGAGCTACTATTCGACTCACGTAATGACTTTACATTCATGAAAAAAAAATGACATGAATTATTGTAGATCTTTTTGCATAATACATGTTGCATAAAGCATAAGAAAATCAAGTAGGCTTTTATTTTAAAAGGAAATGAAGAACTTTGATTGGTTCATTTTCTTATGTATCATGCATTTCACATCTTAAAAGTCTGTGCTGCAACTTTTAAAAGTTAACAATTCACAGTATATAAAAATTATTGATTAGATTTATCTAAAAAATAAAAAAAAATAGATACATTTTCGAGGCAAGAGCTGTTTGACATTGTAAATCTGCATTCTTTTGCTCTTTCTCGAAAATCGTTTGGCAATTCATATTTTTCTTATGTGTTATCTATTGGGTCATCTAAAAAGTATCCGCGGTACTTTGTCACTAGATATATGACCATCAACACACATCTAGTGACAAAAAACCGCGGATACTTTTTAGATGACCCAATACATGTCATCTTTCTATTCGCTGTCTGCTAGCTCGGCATCTCATATTTACAATGCCGGACGCAGCTAATATATCGTAAAACTCTATTTTTTAAGACAAAAAATATTGATGTCACATTTAAATATCAGAGAAGAAAAAGCAGCATTTTAGCGTTAACGCTTGTAATCGAAACTGTTTAAATTACAAAATTTTAGCCGTGGGAATAACAGCAACAGACCTATCGTTCCAACGTTGCTTGTTTTAACATGTGAAATTGCACCTTTAGATTGATGCAAGATCTGCGATGAAAAATAAAATAAAATTATAACGATGTGATTCAGCTACTACTTAAATACGTTCGAGATGATGTCTTTCCGATATTCGATCTAGGATAATAGTAATATATTAACATTATAATGTTTAATATCACACGATCGATGAATATTGTGATATTCGATATTTAAATGTTAGATATTATATTTCGTATATCCATTATTGGTACTAATAGTAGCATAAATTTTAATGTAATGAACACATAATATAAGAATTCATTTACTATATTTCTCAGAACAAGTAGAATGTGCTTGCAATCTTGTGTTGTAATAATTTTTCACGAATTATTATTGTTTGAACTGGAAATATAGTATAATAAATATAATGTTGAAATAAAAAATAGATATAGTCAAAATAAATTCATGTGCGATCGCAGGTGCGGATTGTAGTCAAAAAGGCGACCGTGGATTTTGGGAAAGTGTTACGTACAAGGATCTACCGCCGGACGGCTCAGCCAGTCACTGTTCCATCGTTTGGAAGGATTCGCTGTACGTGGTTGGCGGTGAGAGTTTCCATCGTGCCAAGATGATATACGTGTATGATTATAACGGCAATGTTTGGGAGACACCTCACGTCGAGGGCCGAATGCCGTTACCGCGATACGCGCACTCGTGCGTGCTATTCGGCGACAAGATATTCATGTACGGTGGCGTCGTGGAGAACTCCACCGTGACCAACGAGATCTGGGCGTTTGACGTGTCCGCCAAGATCTGGGAGAACGTTACCGTGCACGATAATTGTCACAACAAAACAATATGTGGCCCACTGAAGGTACGTGCGTTTTATTTTAAAAAATCCGAAGAATATAATGATTAAATTAATAAAGTAAATTGATAATGTATTAAGAAGGAATTTGAATTTGTAAGATACAAATAATTTTTGTTACAATGATTAATGTTTATTACAGTCAATAATAAACTACCAAAATTGCTGGAAATTTTTTGAACTACTTTACTATCTATATTTTATTATCTATAAGCGATTTTTGGTGATTGTTTGGTACATGTATCAAAATTGTTATTAATAAATGTTGATAGAAGTGGAGCTTATTTTTATAATCTGTACGTACAATTATCATGCTAAAACTGCTGGTTTTATTCATACGCACGAGTTTGATATTGTTTAAAAATAATTTCTTGCTCTAACATAATATATAGAAGAGACAGAGAAAGAGAGAGAGAGGAGGAAAGTGAGGGAGGAGAGAGAGAGAGAGAGAGAGAGAGAGAGAGAGAGAGAGAAAGAGAGAATCGGCTAGCTCTGTCTAAGAATCAAATACGCGAAAATATTCTGATACACTTTAATTGCCTGAATTACGCCAAAAATCGCCGTATGCTACTATTTTTATTTTTCAAATCCAAACTGAATTTCCTCCCTGATTTTAACAAATTATTTTTACAGGTAGCCGGGCACACTGCGACCCGGGTGAGTCATGGCAAGAAGGAGAAGATGGTTGTGATATTCGGCTATTCGCCACAGTATGGTTACTTAAACACCGTCCAGGAGTACTCTTTGGGTACGCGCGAGTGGCAGATTGTCAAGACGAGTGGTTTTCCGGTGAGGGGTGGTTATGGACACAGTTCCGCTTACGATCCCCTTACGAATCTCATTTACGTGTATGGTGGTTACGTGTCGGAATCACAAAGCACGCATATTTTGAGCAGTCGGCTGTACTCGTACCATCCTAATTATTGTGAATGGCGGTTGCTTACGTCGGCGCCGTCAGCGCGTTTCTTTCATACAGCTACCTTTGTCACGAGCGGACTGATGTTAGTGTTTGGCGGTAATATGCACAACGACACGCAGCAATCGCACGGCGCGCGATGCTACTCGGCTGATACGCTTGGCTACGATGTCACATGTGATACATGGCATCAGTACACCATGCCCAGAGATATGAGCGATCTTCCGCGATATGGTCACAGCGCAACCGTCTTTGAGAAGTCGATGTATATTTATGGCGGCTTTGATGGTGAAATGCTGTCTGACATGTTGAGGTACCAAATTTAATATATTTTGTTTTAAACAATCTTGTTCTATTATTTTATCTTATTTTAAAGTTTCTTATTTATCTGTGGATGTTGAGATATTGCTATTGCGCAGGTATACCCCCGGCAATTGCGAGCATTTAACGAATCAGAATCAGTGCCTGAATGCCAGAATAGGCGTAAAATGCGTGTGGCATAAACGAGATAATCGATGCCTGCAGATCACAAAGATTCCGCAACACGTGCTCAACCATAAAGAATACGACGAACACGATGGTATTTATATGAAATGTAACCTGGATGACAAGCCACCTCGTGGCATGACGTCGCATGCGGAGCTCTGTAAACTCTTCACCGACTGCGTTACATGCGTGCAAACCTCATACAATTGTGTATGGTGTGGCAAGAGTTGCCTGCATATGAGTTGCCGGGACAATCCAAATTCGCCGAATTCGGCTATCACAGAACTAGAGCATTGTGATCAGAACACTGGCATCGAATGTCTGCAACTACACACGTGCCATGCGTGTTCCAGCAATCCGCGTTGCATTTGGTCGTGGTCCAATGGACCCGATCGTTGCAAACCACAGTCAAAAATTCGGGAGGTACATATGAGAGCATATTTTATCACTTTACTGGCTGTACGGGATGGCGAAATTTCTTTTGAAATATTCCATATATAAATAATTATGAATATATATTTTAATTAAAATGTGATACTTAATATTGATAATATTTCTCGTGACAATCTTAGCTTATAAAGAATTAACGAGTAAATAATTAAATAAGTGAATTTAATTATTAAACAAATGATAATTATATGTCTTATTAATTTCTGAAACAGGTGAACATGTTGAACAGTACGATTCAACCACAGCGTTTGACGATGGATCCGTGCCGCAGTCCATGCGCAGAGTACACGGCGTGCCGCAATTGTACAGAATCTGACTGTATTTGGTGTCAAAACGAGGCCAAATGTGTAGACAAGAATGCGTATCCGGCCAGTTTTCCATACGGACAATGTCGCGAGTGGACAACGATAGACGCTCGGTGTCGTGCCACAGAAACCGGCAGGGAATGGTGTAGTTTCTATTCGTCATGCGCCGCTTGCCGATCGGATCCCGGTTGCGGCTGGTGCGATGACGGATCAGACACTGGGAAAGGTTCGTGTATGCCTGGTGGAGCTCGTGGACCCAGCAGCAAAACCTCGAACACATGTTTACTTGAACATTGGTACTTCACAAAATGTCCAAGTAAGCAAAATTTTTTGTTTAATCTTAATTCTTTTTATATCATATATCACTTTTACTAATTCGATTTCTTTAATTTTCACAGCTTGTCAGTGTAACGGTCATAGTAGGTGTCTTCCAAATACTAGTGAATGCATTCAGCCATGCGGAAACTTGACTTATGGATCACACTGTGACAAGTGTATTCCCGGCTTTTATGGTAGTCCACTCAATGGAGCCACATGTCAGCGTACGTAGTATCTTCTTTTATTATATTATTAATGTCATTATCATTTCCAATCGTTACAAACGATAAAAAGACATTTTAATGACACTTGTGCACTCTTATTACAGCTTGCTCCTGCAATAATCAAGGTACTCTATGCACGAGCGAGACGGGTAAATGTTATTGCACAACTAAAGGTATTATCGGCGATCACTGCGAACGTTGTGACGTATCTGGTCTCTATCATGGAGATCCTACGATTAATAAAGGGTCCTGTTTCTGTGAGTTAACTGATATTTCATTTTATAATTTAATACCTTCATTTCAATAAAATTATCCCCATTGTTCTCATGCGTTTGCGTTTTAGATGACTTAGCTATCGACTATCAATTTACGTTTAATTTGAGCAAAAAAGAGGATCGTCATTATCGAGCAATCAACTTTAAAAATTCGCCACCGAAAGCCGACATTGATGCTGAGTTCTCCATCACATGTTCCGTGCTTGCCAAGATGAATGTCAGCATCAAGAAAGTAAATAGTGACGAAGTGAAACTGGTGACCAACGCAAATTGCACAACGACTATGTACAAGCACCGTTTTAGCAAAGCAGACTACAACTTCGGCAGCGAAGATAACAATACTCTTACTACATTTTACGTATATGTCTATGACTTTCAACCGCCGTTGTGGATCCAAATCTCGTTCTCTCAATACTCCAAACTGAATTTACAGCAGTTTTTCATTACATTTTGCACGTGAGTACCATAATTTGGACTTTGGAGCAATTTTTAATCTAAAATAAAGCGATTAAAATTGCGTTAAATCTTTAATAAGTGCAATACACAAAAAACAATCTTGAGAGATAACAAATATCCATTGACCGTTTACGCTTTATTTTTTCAAATTTCTATACTTTTTTTGCCATGTTGAACCTCAGGCAGTACTTACTTGTAAACTAGAGATTACATGCCACCGCACAGGTGCTTCCTCGCTCTGTTACTGGTGGCTGCCATTCTCTGGAAGATCAAGCAAAAATACGACATGTATCGACGAAGACAAAGGCTCTTCCTAGAAATGGAGCAAATGGCTAGCAGGGCATTCAGTCAAGTTCTAGTGGAAATTGAGAGACGTGATGTTGACAACTCGGATTCAGAACGCGGTGACGCCGACTTTACTAATTGTCGTAAAAAGAAGAAGGTAAATGTGAATGATTCTTTTTTAGATGTCATATGTATTTTTAATGAATATCTAATTGTGCCTGTATTTCTGATTAAACATATACATTTAATATTAAATGATTTTATTGTAAAGAAAAAGTGAATTTTCTTTCAGAGGAGATTCTTACATATTTTTCAAGCAATTTGAATAGTTTTTTGCTCTTATATGAATTCTTACAATTCTTGCAATTAGAATGTCATAAATCCAGTAAGACTTGACTATTTACTAAGTTTTTTTGTGCAGAATGCTCCTAGTCCGATCGCACTAGAGCCTTGCTGTGGCAACAGAGCGGCGGTTCTGTCTCTGCTAGTCAGGTTGCCGACTGGCGGCGAGCCTTATACGCCAGCCGGACAGAGCGCTGGTCTAGCCGTGGCGTCAGCTTTGGTGACGCTAGGCAGTCCGCGCAGACCATCTCAGGAATTAACAACAAAGGAACCGAAGAAGACAAGGAAATCCGCTAGCCAACATCCGGACTCCACTTGCATTTAGCGGTAAACCGAGGTATCGCGATAGGACGCAACTATAATAAGCCTTAGAGTTGTTTCTGTGATCTTGCCCGCACTTGATTCGGCAGGACATTTATCTTCGAACTCTGACAGAGTGAAGATGAAGTGCGAACGATGATCGCGTCGAGATCAAAACGGGAAACATACGCGAAAATTTTTCTCGTTGGCGCGCGACTGATCGATGAATCGAACAATTCGGTTATTTTATCCGAAGAATCGGCTGAATGTGTAACGCTAGATATAAATGTATGCGCGACTTTCCTTATCGAGTAGAAGGAAACGCCTTTGGCCGAGGAGCGAATGGACTGCTCCAACCGGTTACGTCCGCTAATGATGGTAAGTAACATTTTCTTTTTAGACTTGAGCTGTATGAAATATTTTCATGCGCCGAAAGGGACATCCATTGATCACTCGGCTAATATTCGGAACATATTCGAGTTTCTAAGGACTTCGATTAATAATGTACAGTGTTTTATAGATGATAAGATGATTGTTTTTGTCGAAGAAGTTACGATACGTGTTGGTCACGTGGATAAATTGGCCTTGTGCATATTCGAAAAGCTTTTTCCGCTGCATTTATTTTAGAAAATTATTCATTTATAATTTCAAATATGTTTAATTATATTATACATATATATATATATATATAATATATAATGTGTATAATACATAATATTTTTAATTATAATGAATCTAAAAAAAACAATTATTTAAAATCACAATATAAGAAAACGGCTCAAATAATAAATTAAATAATTGAAACAAGGAGTTACGCTTCATAAGCGTTTCTCTCTCTCTCTCTCTCTCTCTCTCTCTCTCTCTCTCTCTCTTATAAAATAGTTACTTAAAAACAAACATTTTGATCTATACATGAGATCATTATCAATGTTATAGATTTTAAATAGATTGTTACACAATTGATATCGCAAAAAATGGATAGAATTCAATGCTAAACCTAATTTTTATTCTTTGTCAAGGCGATATTAATAATTCGATTTCTTACAAATCTTATCCGTAGGTGTCATCAGTTTTTCATTGTGATGTACTATTATACTTTCATCATAATGCTTAAGTCATGGCCATCTCCTTATGTTTTTACAATTATCTACTGCGTTAAATCGCCAATCTTTTGTAACGAATGTATAACAACTCAATACTTGGTCAGAGTACCATGATTCTTATCTTTTGAAATAATTTGCCTTTACAGTATATTAATGAAATAAATCGCTTTACATGGTATTCAAGTGGTCGTTAATGTAAAGGACAAATGAAAACTGATTTTGGCATTGAATTTTATTCCATTTGTTTGCGATATTAACTGTGTAATCTAGAAATCTGTAACATTGAGAGAATTTGTAACATTGATTTAATGATCTCATGTGTAGGTTGAAACGTTTGTTTTTAAGTAACTGTTTTATTAGAGAGAGAGGGGAAAGGGAGAGAGGCAGGAGTAAAAAGAGAGAAAGAAACGCTTATGGCTCGTTAGCCCCTTGTTTTAATTACATAATTATTTCTTAAAAATTTAGGAATTTATAAAATAAAGTACTCCTTGGTAGTCTTTTTTAAGTCTGAAAAAATTAAATATTTTTTTTATACGTCATAAGTTTTTATATTTTATTATTTTCTTAGCATAATTTCTACAGTGCAGTGGACAAAATATTGCAATTGCCATAAGAGTTATTAAAAGAATTCATGTTATTGAAATGATTAAATTGAGGAAGTACAAGTACTTCGATATAAGCTGTAAATAGGCTGTATTTTTTGGCTCGAATGATAAAAATTGATCGTTGATAGTGAAAATAGAAAGACGTATGAAAGATCGGTGAATACGTCGAAGAATTCACTATTTATGTATCCATTTGTAGCGAATGCATATAATATTCATATTCTAAATCGATCGAAGTGAGTAGAGATAACAATTGCAACTGATACAGATTTAAGGAAGGTATAAACCGCACATCCCGTCTTGTGTGTGCATTAGAATTTTACATTAGAATATTGTGCCAAATCAGAATTTCTTTTTTTGATATAAATACAAATCATTTGTTGAGACATATTTTGATCAGCTAGAATCGGTCGAAAAAGATTTTCACTTTGTTACCTCTATTCACTGTGATTGCAATTAATCATACATCGCATGACCGAAAATTTGCAGGATTCAAGATTGACACCAGTTAACGGCGTAATTTGATTAGAAATTTTTAATAATTAGTCGGCCATGCTCGTGATTTTAGCCTAGAGACAATAGAAAGAATATAACATTGTAATAAGAATCTCATTCGAAATCTCATTTTCTTTCATGAAGCAAGGTGCTGGTTATTTCGCACGTTGGATGCATGAGTGTTTTTCTGAGCATTTAACTAATATGTTTACGAGATTCGCATGTTTTTTTTTTAAGAATTTATAGAACCTCTAATTGTATTATATTTTTATTTTTTCATACTTACTTTACTTGTGTATTATTACAGAATTAAATTAGTAATGAATATCGCATACTTCCATTTTTACAATACATTTGTACTTTACTTCTTACCGTTTTAAATACAAGAAAATAATTTACAACGCTTGACTTTACGAATTTTGTATACATTATTAGCGAAAGGTAACGGTAGTGCATAATAGAGAAAGTTCCAGCGCACTCCGATACGTATGTGAAACGTGCTTATATTAAGAAACTTGCACGGTCTTCTTGAAACGTTTGTAATAATACGAAAAAAGGGAGTTTTCATCATAAGATTTATACACACACATATTAGATATTTTTTTCTCTGAATACATAAACTTGCGTTATAATAGGTTTGTTTTCTATAGCTGAACTATAATGTACATTTGATATTGAAAGAAAGCAACAAAGAAAATTGTAGTCGGCGGGAATAAAAAACAAACCTAATAATTAAGTTTCGTTTTTTATTGATGTGCGTGTGTGTGCGTGTGTGTATATATATATATATATACACACACACATATATATATACATATATATATATATATATACATACACACACACACACATACATACACATACGTATATACGTGTGTGTATGTATTTATGTAATTGATGCATATTTGAACAGACGAATAATAAATGACGATAATTTGTTGTTACTTGAATTAGCAAATACAATGCATTTTATGACGTTTAATACTCATATCTTTGTCTTTATATCATTTAAAATATTAATTTATAAAGATGTGGTCAAGAGAAACGTATATACATATATTATAAATTAGAGTCGCTCCATTTTAAGCGATAAATGCGCATTCTCAAATATATTTTTCGTACCAAAGAAAGCTCTGTAGATATGAATAAAATCGTTATTGCGCACGTAGAAGACTAGATAGCACTCGACACAATCAATCAATTATTATATAACAATTAGAAATAAATTTGTAATTATTGGTCGCGTTTGGGAAATGATTTTCTGTCAACAGTAATATAGATCTGGTTATTATTTGTTGTCGAATTTCCTTTTTGATACAAACAGCTTTTTGTACTCGAATAGCGTGAGAAATAATCTCGTTTAAGAAATAATTGTAAAACTTTTTTCTTATAAGCGTCAAAAAAAGAATATTTTATTAAAATATATTTTATTGGATATATTATATTGCGAAACTTTTTATTACATAATTTATACAAATGAATGAGCGTCTTTGATGTTTTCGTTGCATAATACATGCAGTCATTTATGTTTTGACAATTTCGACAATTTAAATAATTATTAAAATTATTTCAATTTATTTATTAAAATAAAATTGAATCTACAGAGAGAAAAACTTTACTCTTTGTACTTGTATGTCAGCAATTTCGGCAACGAAAGAATTGAGATTGATAAAAGCAAAGTTTGAAAATATTGTTTGTATAGAGTAAATTTTGCGGTAAAAAGTGTAGAAGTATTTTTTGTTGTTAGAAATGTTGTTTGAATTCACGATACTTTCAACGTCACATAAACATCCGATATTCTCAATGTTGTTTTAAATTATCAGGACGATGGCGCTCATATATATATATATGTACATATCTATATTTTTTTCGTTCCATTCTTAGACTATACTTAAAAATTTATCATCGAAGGGGAAGGTCGCTCTCGTAGAATAAAATTTTCAAACAGATCTCCATCGAGACTTGGAAAATAAAACTCTCAAACAAACGATTGTTGAAAGTCTATGCCAGCTGGAAATTATCACTGTTTGTTGTACACCGTAACACTGCCAATGTAATATTCCTTCACTTCATTGATCTTTTATAATCTGCTTCGTCTTCAACCCCCGAGACGACGGCCGGGTTTTCCCTTGCGCCGATCGATCTCTGTGACTGATAGCACGAGCGAAAAACCATCGATATTCCGCAATCTCTTCTTATCCCTCTCTTTCCAACGAAGATGGCGTATCATTGTTATTCGCGATCGCGATGGGACTAGTGTTGTTCATCGCCCTTAAGAAGTTCTCTCAGAAAGGCTTAAGTAAATAAAAAAATAGAATAGTATAATACATTACATATTGTATTTACTCTTATCATCTTTATTTATCTGACACATTTAGGGAAAAAGATAAAGGAAAGAATACGGATCTTTTATCATTATAAAAAAATCTATTCCAAATTTCACGCAGAATCTGTCATACATATATATAATGTTATATATTTTATATACTGTATATATAATATATAATATTATATATATATTATATATTATAAATATACTACATATGTATCGAATGAAAAATGATTCTTTTAAAGTTAAATAAATGAAGGCGTATTATGTAAATTTCAACACATTTCTTCAAATAAGTCATTTAAAAGCAGATAGAATAAAATAGTTAACTGTATATTAGAGATATTAGAACTAAATCAATAAAAAGCTAGAAGGAAATTATACGGATCGGTCAATTAGCACCGGATAGTCCGATCGGTTCAATTGTGTACTAATTAATTTCCGTTAAGACGTTACGTAGAAGCGAATGAACACCTCGAGTGATCCCGTCGCGGTCCACGAGGTCTCTTCAATTTTCTTCTTTTAACTCGAAGAAATAACCGGACAGATCTCTCCTTCCCTCGAAGGATTCAAAAAAACATTTGCGATTTTTCCGAAAGGCGAGATCTTTTCAGATTTTGTAATCTTTAGATCTTAGTGGAAGGCGTATGACGATGTAAAATATCCATTTCTATGGATATTCAAGTCATGGATATACGATCTTAGCTGTTAAGGATTCTTAAACGCCGGTATATGAAATTTAAACAAGAAGTGATGATGCTTATCACAAGTATGCCCAATGATCGATATTGTGTCAGAACGCGACGAAAGTTTGAATTTACAGAATAAGAGAGAGACTGTTCTCGCATACATAGACACCAAACTGGAGATACGTCTTAGCAAACAAGCTGACATTATTTGTTATCATTTTGATGTCAAAATGATATTAAAGATATTATTTTGAGAATGACAAATGTACAAGCCGACATATGTCGTCATTTTGACGTTAAGATGATGTTTTGAAAATGACAACGTCAGCTTGTTTACTGGAACAGACTGGCGTGTAATAAGAATACTTAATCTAATTGAATAAGTACATATATTATACATAGCTTGCGACGATTTTTCTAGAACACAATCGAAGATATTTATTTTTATTCCAGCGTAAATAAAAATCTGCAAGTCGATGAAACGATTTAAATTTCTCGACGCAAGTCTCACAAGGACTTTGAGAAACGAATAGCGGGACACGAAGACGAACGCGTTATTATACGATAAAATCTGAGACTATTAATTTGCATATACGATATTATCGTCGTCTTGCTACTTTACGTCGACACTGTCGTTAGAAAGAGTGAGATGTACCAAGTGTCAAAGCGATTTCGAATCATCTTCACAGAAATTTTGCCTGTTACGTTTTTCTTCCATTTTCCAAGACCAGTACAGCGTTTCTCACTAAGAAGGATTAAAGTTCCAAGTTTTTGTAACTCCCGTGTGAACACTTGAGAGTCTTTCGTGTCGGGCTTAATAAGCCGCTCGAGCTTAATAATGATCATTTTCATTCTACATGTAAGCTCATTACTTGTATATAATGTCATATATATGAAGGAACATTACTTTATTTCAAACGATGGGAGAAAAGGCAACGAAGAAGGGCTTTTGAAATATAATATATTGTATCTCTCAAAGACATTAATTAATTCATTTTCGAAAGGCGCGTATAAAATTGGAGATAATTTTCAATCTTTTTTTTAGTTAAGTCATTTTATATTTTAATAAGTTTAATTGAATTATTTTTAGGGAGAGAGGGACATAGCTTCCACTTGTCTCACTACATTTTACATTCAACTTATTTTTTTTCAACATAAGGTATTTTTAGTCTTGAGGACTAGACTTTGCTGGCTAAGCTTAGCATGCCATGTGTACTAAACGTTTGGACTATTTTTAGATTTTATACGTGTGAGTATCTCTCTTTTTACGTTAAAAATCCTCCTTAAAAAGAAGCTTTAACTTTCACTTTTTCATTTTTTTTTTAAATTGGAATATAATGTGCCAAGGAATAAAAAGCTATCAAAATTTCTCAATTAAACGTATCACGAGCGTAAAAATCTTCGGATTCGTTTTATGTGAATAATTAGCGTACGACGCTTAAGTGATCCGTCAAACGTTATAATAGTAATTATAATAGTATCAGTCAACAGCTGATGTCTCTTTATTATTACGAATTCAAGGAATTAAAACGTTAATTATATTGTCGACGAAATCGGAGATTTCGTATTGATGATTTCATATAATGTACACGTGTAAAATATTTATATTACGTTATGTTTTATATAAAAATATAAATAATATTTATATTTAGCTTATTCAATTTATATAAAGTAAAATTTATCATACCTGATGATCAGACGAAACTTTTTAAAAATATATATTACAGTAAAAAAGTATACGATTATGATGATTTTGAATCAGTTCAACCCTATTGATTTTGAATTAGTTTAACCATTTTTATATTTATTATTATAAAAAAAAATTACTTAACACGTGTATCATGCTGTCGATATTGGATAGAACTCAGTACGTCTACTAAATTTCCGTATTGTTGGAAGTTAAATCGAGAGAAAACGATTACGAGAGCGAAAAACATCGCGGATATATTTTTAGATTGTCGCGTACATGCATCGAACAACACAAGAGCTTGAATGCAGTTCCGCACATACCTTATCATCCAATCACATATTCAGCTTTATCTAGTCTACAAAAGATGAGCGTGACTGCGTGCGAATGGATGGTTGCAATATCGGCGAGCTTTTCTTTGCGAAATGCGACTTGTGAATTTGCATGTATTTTGAATACGATGGCAGATTAGGAATCTTTTACTCTACGAACGACTCCTGTGATAGTAAAAATTTCTTTAAAAGAAAAAAATGAACACACGGAGAAATGAATTACTCGATATCAATTTCAAAATTTTGTTTTCCAAGAACAATCTTTGATAGGAAAAATTTTTTTGTTAGACAAAGATCTATATATCGAAGAGAATTGATTTAATGATTTTATCTTATTTTTTATTGGCTATTGTCCTTAACAAATAGTACAGAGGTGGAGAGTAAAAGATTTTTGCTCTCCGAGAGAGACACACATTTTTGCGACAAAATCCTCGAGTGTACAGTTTAGGTAGAAGAAATTATCTGTTTTTGAATTGCAATCAGAAACTGACTGTGTCCTTCCTCCTTTTTTTCCTACACTTTTACTATAATTGCAAACATAACTTTTCATAATTTGCGATTCACAAATGAGAAATGTAAAAGAAATTCCATGCTCTGGGATTACGAGATTTGTGTAGGATTTGTGAAATTTTTAATGATTTTATGTATTCGTAATAGTAACTTATTTTTGTATGTCATATTTTTTATATACCACGATGTGTATCAGGTA